TAGGAGGGAGTTGGTTGATAGGCCAGCTGCAAACATGATGGGAGAGCCAGCATGGTATAGTGGTTTGAGCATTGGACTATACCTCTGGAGATCAGGGTTCAATTCCCTGCTTGGCCACAGAAACCTACTGGATGACCTTGGGCAAGTCGCATACTCTCAGCTCCAGAAAACCCCATGATAGGTTCTCTGTAGGGTTGCCATAGGTTGGAAATGGCATGAAGGCAAACCACAAGAAGAAACATGGTATTTGGTTTGTGCATTGCAGATTGATGTTTTTGTTTGCTGGGGAGAGAAAGGGAAGGGGGGAAATGTCATAGCCCCCCATTTGAAGACCGAGCTTGGCTTCATCCCTGATGTAGTTATGGGAAAGATGGTACAAAACAAGGACACTCTCCTCTCCCAAATGAGATTTCTGCCTCCCCAAATGAAACGTAGGCTGCGGTCCTGTATCATCAGAAGAAACTATGATGGTGCAGCTCCATTGTTGCAGTTATGTCTGACAATGCTAAATCCTTAAACCCTCCTATTTCAGCCTGGCAACATCTCATCTGAAGAGTTTCTGGGGTGCTGCAGAACAGGGGGTGAGTGGGAAATGATGTCTGTAATATTTTCCCAATTTGAGGGGTGCATCAAGAACAGGTAACTGGAGAGATCCCTTGGGGTCCTTCTGCATGACTGGGAGAGCACTGCAAACAGCTGATCCACAGTGCCTGGAAATCTTTTAGCAGGCGTGCTGCCAAGTTGCAAAGGTAGGTTTCAAGGATCACGTTTTGTCATTAACAATGGTAAACATGAATCCTCAGCACTTATGAGATCATAAATCTCGTAACTCTTGAACAAGATGCCAGCCAAAGTTTCTAGCACTGCAGTAACTTAAAACTTCAGTTGACTATTTAGAACTTGGAGCATCCATTGAAAAGGAGCAGGCAAAGTTACCAGGGAACGTGAACACAAGAAATGTAAGAGTTCTAGGTGTGGATGATTTCCAGTGTCTCACTCTTTGCAATGTTAGAAAATTGAGGACTGATGGAAAATTTCAGGGGGAGGGCAGAATTTTTATGGAAGATTCGATGCCTTCATTTTGCCCCCCACCTCAGCCAGACCTCTTAGCTTGAAGCATGTTTCTTTTCACAAGGACACAGTTCAGCCTATATTGGTAACTCCACGTACATTTGCAAAGCCCTTTTCCTATATTGTTATCAAGGGAATGATTTCAAATTGCTAACATATCCATGAAACTGTGAATCTGCTTTTATCCAACCTAAATCCAGCCTGTGTATTGTAAACCTTGCTGTAAACATTGACTGTGAGGTTAACCACGGCATATTATTTACAGGGGAGTTTTGTTTCAATATTTTTGTCTGTATACTCCAGAGTGCAAGGACTTTTTAATCAAGTTTCCCAGTCCCAGGCTGCTGTTTGAAAATCAATTGCTTTATGTTCCAAAATGGATTTGCTCCTAGATGGAAAGCCCCCCGGAGACTCTTTTGGGAGCTTTGAGAAACTCTACTTTATGCCTTTTTTTCTCCCAAGCTTGTATTTCTGATGCTCCAGCCAAGAAAGAATGGGCCCAGTTGCAACAGACTATTTGTTATTTATGGATTGTCTTCTCCTCTCTCGTCTAGTCTAAGACTTTTCATTGCTTGATGCAAAAGACTATCCTCCCTCCATTCCATCAGCAAATATCAACTAGACAGACGGTTGACTCTCACTTCAACACTGGCAATGAGACAAAGTCATAGAATCATAGAATTGGAAGAGACCACAAGGACCATTCAGTCCAACCCCTGCCATGCAGGAACTCCCAATCCAAGCATTCCTGACAGATGGCCAAATCCTCTACCTCACTTGCAGCTAATTCAGGGCATAAAGGGCAAGTTGTGTGGAACACACTGTTGTGTCCTCCAGCAGAAGGCAGCCTCCGCTTCTCTTCCACAAGAGACAACATCTGTTTCTGGGGCAGCTAGCTCACTCTACCTCATGGTAGGACCAGCAACAATCTATGGGATGTGAAGTCAAAGGCCTTCACAGCTGGCATCCATAGTTTTTTTGTGGGTTTTTTGGACTACGTGGCTGTGTTCTGGAAGAATTTATCCCTGATGTTTCACCTGCATCTGTGACTGGCATCTTCAGAGACACCTCTGAAGATGCCAGCCACAGATGCAGGCAATATATATAAATATATATATGGATTGGCATTATTTTTTTCTAAAGTCCCAGGAACTGGTATTGTATTTGGCTGTGTTTCTTTCATTCCTGGAAGCTTTCTGAGGATCAGCAGCCCAGTGGCTTGTGAAATAGCATCACTCCAGAGACAACCACTTTGAGTAGCACTGAACAACTTGACTGCTGTCAAGGACCAAACTAGCTATATAAAGTGAAGTTATCATGCAAAGGTTGGCCAGCAGGAGATGAAGTGGCCATAGTCACAATCAATAGCACATCGATGTGGAATTGTTGTGATCTGCACTGGTGAAGACACTGCTGGCACTGATGAAATCACAAATGTTCGTGGTATTTAAGCTAAGTCCATCCATGACTTAGCTCCGCAGTGCTGTATTGGTTCCTTAAGAGATATTAGGGGATCGCATCCCCCACTATACCCCTTGCCAAAATAATTCACATTTTTGCTTCCAAATGCCTAGGGGTCATTTTTGCCCATGTTTTTGGCTGCCTGGGAAGCCAAAAGGAGAGGTCTTTTTTGCAATGTAGAATGACTCAGGTCTACTGCCTAGAGCAGTTTGGGGGCACATGGGGGCAAATGAAATTTATTATTATTATTATTGTTATTATTAGCCCAGAACAAGAGAAACAGCCTTGAAAAATCACATGCACCCCATGATGTGACTTTGCCAATCCCTGATTTAGATTATCATATGGATTATAAGGGAAAGCAAGCAAAGTCTTTGTGGATTCTTTTGTTTTGTTTTCCTTTAGGACCCCAAAGTGTAGCAACCAGAGCCAATTGCAAAATATTGGGGTGGGGTGCATGGAACTAGAGATCCCATGGAGTACAACTGATGACTTTCTGAAATCCATGAGCTACACACTGGGCAACACTATCATGGGGTTTTCTTGGTAAGACTTGCTCAGAGGTGATTTGCCTTTGCCTTCCTCTGAGGCTGAGAGAGTATAACTTGCCCAAGGTCACCCAATGGATTTCCATGGCTGAACAGGGATTTGAACACTGGTCTCCAGAGTTGTAGTTCAAGGCTCAAACCACTACACAACACTGTTTTGCATGTGTACACAAAAGTATATAAAGAACAGCTTTCTCCATCTGGAAACAGGATGAAGGCACTTTGTATCAATTTACCTAATTCACACTTTCTTCACTAATAGGTGATTTTTCATTTCAGATCTTGGCTCAAAACTTTGTGTATAACATTGCGTATATCAAGGGAAGCTGCAAACAAAAATCTTAAGCCAAATGGTATTCAGATATAAATGCATATGTGTATGTGTGCTTAAAATCACAGGCTGATACAGAAATTGGATGGAACAGAAAAGACTTGAGTACAGAAAACTATCATGGCTCAGAAATAGACTGGTCATCCTTACCAGAGAGTTAGTGAAAGGTGAAGTTTTTAAAAAATGAGTGGACGCTAAGACATCATGAGAGTCTCATAATTGCTTGGGTTTATCTTGAAATTCACAAAATGAGGATTATTAGAAAAACCTGAAAACTGGGTGTTGGTATGAATCTCCCACAAAACCAGGATTTAATCCCTAAAATTAAAGCCACAGAACTCATCCTTTGGTGCTCCAGATGTTTTGGATGTCAGTTCCCAAAATCTTTGACTGCCTGGGAGTACTGGGAATTGAAGCCCAAAACCTTTCGAGCAGCAAAAGGAAACCACTGGATTATACACAATGTCCTAAGACATTGTTGTTGTTGTTTGCCTTTAAGGCATTTCTTACTGAGAGGTTTCTTTGGCATTTTCCTTTACAGGGGATTTGCCATTGCCAGCCTCTGAGGCTGAGAGATAGTGACTTGCCCAGGATCACCCAGTGAGTTTCATGGCCATGCAGGGATTTAAAAGTCCAAAGCTGGGTTTCTTTACACTGCTTTACACTACAAGCTACTAAGCATCAGGGCAGAAAATGTATAATACAATAGAGCAGTGATTCCCAAACTTTTGGTCCTTCAAGTGTTTTGGATTGCAACTCCTGTCACTTTGGCCAACAGTTAGGATTTGGGGAGTTGAAGTCCAAAACACCTGGATTACCAAGATTTGGGAACCACAGCAACAAAGGCAAAAAAATTGGCACAGAAGCATGCAAAGCACTTTTGCAGGGATGGACAACTTTCTAGAGTTGGGTGAATATACTAGATTCCTTCAGAACCCATTAGAAGTCACACAAACATATACACACACACACAATTTGCCACTGCCACTGCAGTCACCACTCCAAACCAGTGGCAGGCACAGCTGCTCTCTATGATGCAGGAGGAATCCAGTGTCTTCCCATATACAGCAACATTTCAAGTCACACTCTCTCAGCCTCATGGGGCACATTTGGCCAAGCAACATTGGACAGAGATCAAGGTGACAAAGAATTGTGAGGAAGAACACACAAGCTAGGAGAGGCTGCAGCAGTTTGCTTTTGCCTGAGCTTACTGGGAAGGACATGATTCCACCTGCTCCTTTCAGCTTTCAACTGAATGCAAAATCATTTTTGACTTTGAGTTCACTTTGCACTAATGGAAGAAAGTTGAGGACAAAGAGGGAAAGTGGGAGGATCAGAGAGAAACTGGGACATTTTAAAAGTAGTTGAACAAAGTGGGACAACAGAAGATTAACTAAAGACTGCCCCTACCAAATTGGGACAGTTAAAAGGTATATGTAACATGCTGTTGTGTGCCTTCAGGTCTTTTCCAACTTATGGCAAACCTATAATGGTTTTTTCTTGGCAAGATTTGTTCAGAGGAGGTTTGCCATTGCCTTCCCCTGAGGCTGAGAGAGTGTGACTTGCCTAAGATCACCCAGTGGGCTTCATGGCTGAATATGGAATTGAACCCCAGTCTCCAGAGTCGCAGTCCAACACTCAAACCACTATGCCACACATATGGCCCTGTAAAATTATAGGGCAAAATATCTGTCCTCCTTCAATTATTATGGGGTGGAGAGGGGCAAACTGTCCTGGTTTCTGGGCTGCGTGTGGCAGTGCCATGGCTGGGGTGCCATGAGAACCACAAACAGATTTGCAAGAGTTTCCACCTTAACATTGAGGGAACAAAAACTTGGAGTTCAGGGGGCAGAGGAGATATATGGTCTCATATACACTTGCAGAGTGAAGGTCAGTGTGGGATAGTGGTTTGGACGTTCCACTAGGACTCTGTGTAACCAGGGTTCGAATCCCCACTCAACCACAGAAACCCACCAGATGACTTTGGGCAAGTCACACTCTCTCAGCTTTTGAGGAAGACAATGACAAACCTCCTCTGAACATCCCTTGCTAAGAGAGCCCCAGGATATGGTCACCGTAAGTCAGAGTTGGCATGAAAGCACACAACAACAACGTTCCTATCCTGATACAAAACTTAAATTTTCTAAGCACATATAGCAAACTTTCCAGTAGATCTCAGAAGTACATCCCCTTCTCCAAATCCACCTCTGATCCAATGTATATTTGGTCTGCTAGCTGCTTAAATACACTTTAATGGAATTATGATATGATTTTTGGTGGATGGATTGATCTATCGATTAAATTTACATGTGGTTAAAACCAACATTTCTGAAGGAGGAAGCATATTTTCATTATTCTAGGTTACACATATGTATATGCACATTTTAAATTATCCTCACATTATTTTAGATCATGTACACATAGGTCACAGGAAGATGCAACATACCAAGCTGAACTGCCCCATCTAAGCACTGAGTTATATTGGGCATCATATTAAAAGAGGCATTCCCTCTCTGTGAAAGAGAAGAAAAGATGCCTCTTTTAAGATAGCCCTTTCCATGAGGAGTTTTTAAAACCAGCTGCATTAAAAATGATTTTGGTATTGGGATCTAGTCATACTTAAACAAGACCCATGTCATTCATTGGGAAATTACTCATGAGATCTTAAGGTCCAAAACACACTACAGAAATGATCCAGTTTGAGACCGCTCAATGCTAGGAAATTCTGGGAAAACTGTAGTTTTGTGAGACATTTAGCCTTCTTTCTCAGAGAGCTCTGGTGCCACAATCAACTACAATTCCCAGGAATCCCTAGTACTGAGCCAGGGCAGTTAAAGTGGTCCCAAACTGGATTATTTCTGCAGTGTGTTTTGGACCTAGATCTTGTTCATTTCACTTTGGTCTAGTGACTCAGGTCTAATCTGCACTGCAGAAATAAAGCAGTTTGACAGCACTTTAACTGCCATGACTCAATGCTGTGGAATCCTGGAATTTGTAGTTTGTTGTGGCCATAGAGGCCTCTGACAGAGAATGCTAAGTATCTCACAAAACTACAAATCCCAGAATTCCATATCATTGAGCCATGGCAATTAAAGCACTGTCAAACTGCTTTATTTCTGCAGTGTAGATTAGACCTAAGTCTGGATACAGTCTGCACCTTTAATATATATATATATATATATTAAATTTGCAAATTATTAGTTGCAGCTTTGTAGTCAATTTAACTGCGCGCGCGTGCGCGCGCACACACACACACACACACACACACATATATATATATATATGGTGGTCATTTTGGCCATTTGAAAGCATCTCAAACCTATATTAGCATAATCTCTTTATTAGGCCCACCAAAAGGAGACAAAAATGTGCAAGCTTTCAAGAACTCCAGATCTCTTTAGCACGGCTGATGAAGGGATCAAGAGATCTTAAAAGCTTGCACGCATTATTATCTCCTTTCGGTTGGCCTAATATTACTCTAATGTCAGTTACCTTCTTGAACTCATTAAGCGAAATGGTTCCTTAAATGTTATCTACGCACATGCAATCTGTATGTCCAAAATAATTCCTTTGATCGATACAACATATATAGTTAATGCAATCTATATCATGTACTTCATATATATTTATTAAAAGCCTGATTCAAATTTATGGATAGTTCACTGCTGGGCTTTTATCCCACAATTTCTCCAAGATGTTATTGTTCTTGGATGAATGTGTGAATTGTAGTTGGGGGGGAGGGCTGAGTTCATAACAGGTGAATGGAAAATGCTTCTGATTAATTCATACCGATTAATTTGCAACATCTCACTTATGCCTCCAAATTTTTGCTTTATGCTCCAGCCAGTGTGTGCCATGAATATATTTATGCAAAACTGGCTCAAGAAAACCGACAGTGATCTGCCTTTAACATTAGGTGACAGGAAAGCATTTCCTTTGGTGCTTCCTTAAAAATAGGAAGCACAAAAGAACTTTCCTCCTTTAAACAGTTTCGAAATGGATTTCCTGGAACTCCCAGTTTTTCCAAAAAGTTCTCTCTCTCTTTTTAAGCCCACTTTATTTGTCTCTGCCCTGGATTGTTTCCTTTTTGTCTTCCAACAGCTGGGTGAAATGAAAGAATTTAGGGGCTGGCTTGGGGCAAGGAGAATGCAAACAAAAGGAAACCATTCAGTTGCATGATCATAAAATGGAACAAACACTGAATTTGTACCAACAAATGCCGCAGTCCTATATATGGCCATCCCAAAGATTTTCCTCTGAATTTGTGAGGCTTCCTCCCAGGTAAATGGTTAGAAGATTGCAGCCTAGAAGGATCTCTCTTTGAAAATGGCTAGATTTCCCATTCCCAAAATAATAATAATAATAATAATAATAATAATAATAATAATAATAATAATAATAAATAATTTGTATCCCGCCCCTCTGAGAGCAATAGGGGTGGCTAACATATTAAAATACAGAATACAATCAAAACCCCAGTACCCACTGCCTCTTAAAAAGTATTATAGATGAAAGCTATTTCAATCTTTCCTATACATATTTGATAAGAAAAAAAAAATAATTGAAATACAATGCCCTTCAATGGTAGTGAGTTTAAATTCCCTCGACAGTTTTAATTCCCATGCCTGGGCGTTAAGTTACAATATTTTAATTACAGTAGTATCTTTTTCAGTAATTTTGCTTTTTTTAAAAAAAGGCTAAAGAATGGTTGTGAGTTTGGGAATTGATTTTTCTTCCCTGCCCAGATTTGGGAAGCAGGTTGGTGGGTTATTTTTACTTAACAGCATCAATCCTTTAGTAGAAGTGTGCTTATAATTCTGTGTATGGCTTGTTTAATTGATAAGTACTTTGTATAGTAAATTCCAGCCTGCACAAACATATACACAAAGTAATTATCTGAGCATTCCCAGGAGGAAAGACAAAAAAATCATGGCCAGCTTACTTTCACGAGGACTTAAAAATAAATAAGTCCTATAGTTAATAAGATGGGGGATGCCTCTCGATCAAAAGTCAGGGAAACAATGATATTTTGCCCCCACCCCCAAAGCAGAAGAATTTAAAAATGCCTTCCCCAGGAAGAGAAATAAAAGACTGCTACTTTTACCAGAGATTGCAAAGCCAGGATAATCATCAACAAAACCTCAACTACTTTCCAGCATGCAATGCAACATACCACCTGCATACATTATCATTTCCATTCACACAGTCTGCATATATTAGAGTAAGCCTGCACAACTTGTGACCCAGCAAGCCAAATGCAGGCCAGAGTCATCCATGGCTGCCTTCAGGACTTATGTGAACACAGTTTTACTGCAAAAATGGTGTGCGGATGCACACTATTCAGCTAGGTAGCTCACAAGTTGTTCCTACCCACACCAGGCTTAAGTCCCATTAGAAAAAATCTTAAATAGCTAGATCAGCTCAGTAAAAGCATCAGGATTAGACAGTCTGCTAAATCCTGTACAACTGGATCAAGCAATAGTTGCATCTTAACATAGGGCAAGTTTAAGAGCATTGCACAGAGCGTGTTGTTTGAACAGAAACCAACATGTAGTTTGTTGCTTTTCCAAAACAAAAACAAATAGAAGCTCTAAATGGTTGGTTTACGGGTGCTGTCTTTTTTCATGTACTTAATCAAAGGTGAATGGAATAAAATATAATGAAATGGAAACATTTGACTGAGAAAACTCATTCAGTGAAACATATGGACACTAGGAAAGAGCAAACTTGAGCCCTCCAGATGTTTTGGAAACCCAACTCCAGCCCAATATGGGCAAGAATGATGGTCCTCCAAAGCATCAGGTTGACCCAAAGTTCTCCATGTCTGATTTATGTCTAAAGTACTCACAAGACTACAATCTGAATTTGCTTTATACCATGCTGGTCTAGATATTAGGCTAGATATTTGTCTCCCCAGCCCAATTGTAGTCTTGTAGTATTTTCCTTGGGTCCCATCACCTAAAAGCCTTTAGTCGGAGATGTCGTCCTCATCACGTCAAATATTCAGAGTTCCTATGGATCTATCCTGAATAACCCTACTTTTCCTTCCTGGAATTTGATTCCAGAGTATTCAAGAAGTCCTCTTGGAAGGTTTATTGTCAGTTGACCAGACAGAGTACAAAGGGGTAAAATGGCCATAAAAGAAAGCTTTTGGGAATGATAATATATGGACAGTGAAGGAAAGCTAGACCCACACAAACACAGCTGTGTGCAACTTTCCAATATCAAGTGGAAACCCTGTTGCTCCTGAAGCACCACAAAACCAGCATCCAAGCACTGTAGGGAACACAAGACTGACAACGACACCTTGCCTGTGTGGGTACACAACCCCAAGAAAGACTGGATTCTCCCTTTCCCTCTTTCTCATAGCTTGATGGAATAGGAGCAAATGGGAAACTGTGTCGATTAAACAAGGATTTATTTTAAAACAAAGCAATGCAAAATAAATAAATAAATAAATGCAGATTTATCTAGGAGCCTTGTTTTTCCCCTTAACATTATCATTAAAAAAATAAAAGAAGACTTGTGCAACTTTTCTACAAAGTGCTGCCACCACCTTTTTCTTTGCTCTTCAAGGCAAGACTGGTATAGGCCCCAATTGTCATTTCTTTCTCCCTTTCCCCTTCCAGCCCCCCAACCTGCCTGTCCTGTCTGGATTAATAATA